TTGATTATATATTAGAACTTTATTTTGGTGACCTCAACAGCTCAATAAACTGTGTTCCCTTTCATTTTGCAGAATATAGATTCAGTGATCATGACATCTCAATTCTGGCTCAGAGGAAACATATAGAAACGTAATTAGAGAATTACTTTTTGCTTAAAGTTGTATGTTTTCAAAGAATGGAATTGCTAATGCTTCCCCCAAACTGGGCCCTAAAAACATATATACATACATACATATATAATATACATGTATATGTATATTATATATATAAATTTACAAAATCCTATCACAAGAATTAATTTGGTTTTTTGAGAATGGATGATCCTATTTTGAAAACTGCATAGGCAAGTACTATGCAAACCCATGTAAAATGACCTTATACTGTTTCACATAGCATAGCCTCTGGATAGCTGCTATCACTTGCCCAGATGGTGTTTGGCCTATGTATTTTAGCAGAATGGTTTATTTTCTCCTTGATGGGTTTGAAACGCACAAGAAAACATTATACCCGTCTATCTGCATTTGAGTGGAATACAAACTGACTAATAGATAAACATTCTGTGTGAAAGTAAATAGCCTTAAAGTAAACTGCCTTCACATCCCATTGATCAGCTCAGTCAGCAAAGTTTTCAATATTGTCACTAAGGTTCTAAATATTTTGGAGAGAAGTATGCTAAAAGTGTGGAGTGTTTTCATCTATGTCACATATAAGGTCATTATCAACTACCTCTTGAATCTTTATTGGTCCTTTGGGATCTTCTGAACCAACGATCTTCCACTTCCTTTTTGGTTGTGTGTGTGTGTGTGTGTGTGTGTGTGTGTGTGTGTGTTTGATTGTTGGAACTGTTATTGTATTTGTGAAGAAGAGCATTATTAGGGGCTATTAATCAGATAATCAGACTGGCTCAATCACTTGGCCATTCAGCATAGGCAAAGTTGTTACATGGACTGGCTCATTACCTTACATTCATTAGTGGCCTTCTTCAAGTCTGTAGCAGCCAAAAAGGAACCCAACTCTGTGCAGTCTGAATATTGTGATTTGACTACCACTGATTGTTGCTAATCACTTCTGTAGAGGTACTGTACCTACTTCCAGAAGGGATGGGCAGAAAACTATGAAGTCCATCTATGGATAGCATCAAGAATGAGAATTTTAGAAGACAGCTCACAGGTCAGCTGTTTCATATACACACCCCCTTCCCCAAGATAATAATTTCTACAGCGTCTAGAATTTCCTAAGAATTCAAACCCTGGAATTCTGAGGCTAGCTGGAACTTACAAATTATTTCAGCTTTTGCTGAAAGAGATAGATTTTGACCAATAAGGTCTCAGATTCAGATTTCTAAGGGAGAAATTCAAAGCTAGAAGCCTAAATGCCTGCCCATAACTTCATTTCAGTTTTTGAACAAAAGCAAAAAATACCATAGTTCAGTCCCATATTTGGCATTAACTCTTACTAGTCACAGAAGGGGTCAGTATTACAGATTTTTCCAAAGTGGTTTAAATCAGAGGAGGTTTGTCAAAACTTGGCAGAACCTTTCAAGTGAGCACAGCGTGATGACAGAAATGAAACGCAATGTCTAAAAGACAGAAAATAGGTCAGCACTCTGCAATAGTAAACTTGTCAGTGAGATCAATATGAACCTACAAGCTAATGGGGATGTTGGAATTTCCCTCCTTTGAGGGAAGCGCAGTGTGGAGCCAGAACACGATTGTATAGTTGAGTCACTTGCAGAAAAGCAGATGATCTATTTAAATGGTATTTTCTCTACCCTTAATGAAAGGCACTGTTTTCAATATGGAATTTTCATGTCTAAACACAGTTTTAATTGACAAAATGTCATAGTAAATTAAATTTTGGTTCATTTGCTCTATTTTTAGTAATATGAGAAAAGAAAAAGGAAAGCAATGATCAAGCATCATAAAATTCCAGAAATCTCATGAAATCCCTCATTAGCTTTCTAAATGTTAAATGTTTCAGAGAATTTAACACTCCAAATGAGATCTTTACATAAATTTTGAAATGACAAAAAAAAAATCTAGTAACAGATATTTATCTTCTTGGGGATTTTTAGTGCATTTATTTATTTATTTTTGAAGGTACATTACTTAATAAAAACATCAAATGCCAGTGCTTTGCAACAGTTTTGTTACTGTCTCTTTAAAACAACCCCCCAAATTACATTCAAAAAGCCAAGCTTTTCTGCTCATGTAGTGGCAGTGGGTTTGGAAAAGTTAGAGCCTACACTGCTCCTGTTCAGAGGCATTGCCCAACATCAGTCAGCAGTCAATAAGCAGCTGCTGCTGCATATAGAGAATGCCATTGTGGGCTAGAGGGAAGGAGTAGGGAACCGAGCAAAATGCCACATGTGCCAGCTGGTCTTTCCATGAGGAAAGACTCCCGCAGAGAGTGTGATTGAGATGGGCTGAGAAGCGCAAATGGATCTTTCCAGAAACTTGGCTTATAGGGAAAGAAGCGCAGCAGGAAATAGAAATTAATTTGTTTGGCAAGCTATATGTGTATTTGCACGTGTGCACACATCCAGGTATAATTTTCTATTTATCTTCAAAGAGAAATGTAACAAAACTGAGGTAGAAATAATGGCAGGAACACTCCAGCCCAGGAGAGATTTCAAAAGCATAATGAAAATATATTGACCGAAAATGGAGCCAAAGTATGTGTGTGGGATAAATCCCCATAACTTTGAGGGTCTGTATGGGGTCATTTTGTCTGCATTTGTTTGTGGGGGGTTGTTGGGGAGGTGTTTCTGTTTTTGGCCACTATTGACTGCATTCTATAAGCAGCACTGCAACCCCATAAGCTGTATCCGTGAGCTAGAATGTCGCCAATCCCAACAGTTTTAACAAATTACTTCAAAACTACCACAACCACCACTTATGCAGTAAAAGGCAGTCATAGTTTTTAGGTAATATGCCTTTTAAAGTCCTAACAGATCTAGTGGTTGATTGTTTCCAGATGCTAACATAAACGGAGTAAGTGGCTTTCCTTCACCAGTGTTATCTTTTAAGAACCATATCACTTAATTATCAAGGAGCAATGTACTAAGAACTCTTATAGTTTACTGACATAAAGAGAATTATTCTGCTCTGGTTTGATTCCCAGATTGGTAAAAGAACCAATTTTTTTTTTTGAAGAAACCCTTCTATTTTCTACTTTAAACTGCAAAGATTCAGTCATATCACACTTCAGTATTTTCCTGGATACATTCAAAATAATTTTCCTTTCCATTTTCCAATTGTTGAGGTAAACATACATATTTAATATAAAGTAACATTGAAGCCTAGCCTATAACTCTCAGCAGTACATAGTGCTTTCAACACATTCCTTTGAGGTACTGTACAAATCACAATCACTTTCCTGAGTTTTTGCAGACAGAACATTAAAAGAAATGAACTGCAGAAATTAAGGTCCAGATTACCGTTACCCTGTTTTACCTGTTCTTAGCTTAATACTGCAGAACAGACAGGATTGAGGAATACTGTTGCTCTTAGAATGGCAAAAATCTGGTTCTCTGTCGCAACACAACCGTTCATCTCTTTAGTCCAATAATGTTTGAAGTTAAAGCTCTTTATATTAGCACATGCCACCAATGTAATTGTGAGGCAAACAAACAAAAAAAAAAAGCACCACTCCAGGCACTTGACAGCAACTAAATCTCAAGAACAGCAGAATGGAATCAACACACGGGGTTCATGTCCTTCTGAAATCAACCCACTTGCACCTTGCTCCTTGGCGAGTGGTGTCTGGCTTGAACAGAACTGAGCATCAGCACACGCTTCCTGTCACCTGGGGCTTTTCAGATCAGCAGCTCTTGTTTGATGCACTTTTCCTCCAAGTCTACCCTGACTCTAAAGATGCAACATCATTGTCATCTCCCCCAGTACCCTTTGCAATTTGAACACTACTGAAAAGGGCTTCTCTACCCTATGTAGCAGGTTTTGTGTGTGTGTGTGCCAACATTCATTACATTAAAAAAAAAAAAGAAAGAAAAAGAAAAAGAAAAATTATCACTGACTGCAACCGAACATTTTGTTCCATTCAACATATGTATCAAGCTCTTTTTGAGATATGCTAGGCTGAATCTTGCAGAAAGCATTTTCAAAGTCTTGATATGTAACGGGCCTCAATTGGCTGGGCATAATGGCTGAAAGGTCTGTCGCTGGCATGGCATGGAGTGGGCCCACTGCTGCTTCCTGACACAAATGAGCCACATCTAGTCCAGAGAAGCCTTCTGTGCGCTGGACAAGCAGTGCAAACTCCTTGTCATTGAGACAGTAATTGTGCTGTGAGAGCAGTTGTCCTATTATCTGGTGCCTCCCTGTGCTGTCAGGAAGTGGGATTAAAAGTCGTTTTATGAAGTACCTCCGAAGGGATTCATCTATTTCTTCTGGTTTACTGGTGGCACAAATTACTACTATTTGGTCCTCAGCAGAAGTTAGTACAGTGTCCAGCTGCATAAGGAACTCGGTTCTCATCCTATTGACCGGACTGTGCTCTTCACTCACTTGAGAAGAGAGAAGCATGTCAATGTCACTAACAAAAATCACCGAGGGCTGGCGACACCTGGCCACGAGGAAGGAGGAATGGACGATTTTCTCTCCTTCCCCTAACCACTTGGTGACTAGACTGGAACCAGCAATTTTGAAAAACGTAGCCCCCAGCTGACTAGCTATGCATCTACCTAATAATGTTTTGCCTGTTCCCCGAGGCCCAAATAAAAGGATGCTCCGAGGTAGGGCAGTCAGTCCATTGAAAGCATCTGACCTCAACACAGGCCATAAAACCTCCTCTTTAATGACAGCCTTTACCAGGTCGAGGCCAGCGATGTCATTCCAGTCCACTGGAGGTCCTTGGTTGATAATCTCATTGGTTACAAGGTCAATGAGGTGTGTGTCAGTATTCTTCAGTTGCTCGTCCACAGAGTGGTTGGATGAGGTAGCTGCACGGAGTCCTGGGCCTTGCATTGGGTGAGGGAGGA